ACCAGGCGGCCGGATGCGGCGGAGGAGGGAGAACCTGCGCCTCCTCTTCTCTTCCTCCTCCTCCACCTCCTTTAATTCCTTCTTCCCCGCGGACGCTGTCGTGATGTCACTTCCTGTCGGCAGCACCCGTCCCCCCCGCCCCCACACACCCTTTGGTTTACAGCGCCCCCGGGTGGCGGAAGTTCATCAAGGACTGGAAAATCAGTCTTCGGCGAGTCGGGAGGTTGGCGGACGTACGTCGAGACTTCCAAGGGGACATCTCCACTGGCGGCGTCCATCTGACGAGGGCAAAATTAAGCTAGAGGCTGCGTCCACACGTACGCGCAGAAATTAGACCAAGTGCTCATTTTTACATCCTTTCCTACACACGCAATTTATTATTTTTTTGCCTTAAAAAAGTCCACCTTAATTCGCATTTGTTAATTTTTCCGAGAATTTTTAAAAAATTATTTATTCAAAATAAATCAAAAATAAAGTGAAAGAGTGAGTTTTTCATACAATAAATATTATGTAATTGTCGTGACTAATTCTTTAATTTTGGTGGGTTAAGTGGGTTAATCGTAAGAAATCCGATTTTCTTTAAAGAAAAATTTTATTTTTTTTTAATGCAGATTTAGTCTTGGGGAAAAAAAATCCAATTTTTAAAGATTTTTTTTGGTCAAGGATATAAGATTTGTCAAACTCCTGAAATTTATTTTATTGGGGAATTTTTTTTTTCCTTTTCTTGAAGCGACACAACTTTTTTGTTGTCTTGAATGACTACACTTTATTTGCTTAATATTACAAAAAATGCTTTAATTCACAGAGAAAAAAATCCAAGAAATTCCTGTTGTAAAAATTTTGCTAAATACTTAAGATTTTTTTCTGAAAAAATTATTTTTTGTTTATTAAATGAAACTACAACTCTATTATAAAATAATTGTTTAAAAAAAAGTTTATTTCTTGAAACTTTTTTTCAAGATTTTGTGGGGGGGCAGAAATACTTTTGAGAAAAAAAAATCTTGACAAAGTTGAATTTTTGGGGTGAAAACTACTCTTTTTAAAAAATAATGACCATCCCTAAGCTGTACAACTTTGTTTATAAAAACATCTATACACGTGTAATTTCTCAAAAATATGCAAATTTACTAACTGTACATCTTTTTTCCTTAGCAAAAAAATAAAATACAAATTTTACCCTTCATTTATTTTTTAACCAGTGTACTCCTGGTGTGTGTAATTTGACTTTTTTTTTTTTGTTAGTTTTGTTTTGTTTTTTTTGTGACGCTCGAAAGATTTGTGGCTTGTAAAATTATTGGACGCGTACATGTGGACGTAGCCCCCGCCAGTGGCGATTTGCGTGCTTATGTTCAGTGTTTTTCGGGGGGTCTTCAGTTGGTTTTTTTTGTTTGTTTTTTTTTTTTTTTAGCGGCGGATGAACTTTGCCCCATTTCTACGAGGGGTGGCCGTCAGACGTGTGCAAACAGGAGAATGTCGGTTGCGTTCTTTGAATGTACTCTTTCTTCTCTGCGTGGATTCTTTCTGTTGCTGTACATAAATATATAGACATATCTATTCTATGGGCTGTGCTGATGTCAGGGAGTAGAGGGGGTGGCCACACGAGCCCCCTTTAGATTTCAGTCCTCGCCCCCCCCCCTCCACTAAATATGCCCCTGATATTTACTGTAACATGTGATCATGTGTTATATGATTGAATGTGTGATGGTGATTGTGTGCCCCAGTCCCTCCTCGTACTTCACCCCCCCCCCCCCCCGCCCCCACATCCCCTGCCCCCTCCTCTCTTTACACAGTCATTGACTTCACCTCCTTTTGGAATTAATTCCGTCCAATTTATGGCTTCTCCCATCCGTCCTTTGTGGGATTTGAACGCGCGGCCTCGGAGCTCTTTGATCATGAGCCAGTGGGAGGAAGTGCTCGCTTCTGCTAATGCTAGTCCACGGGCGTTTTACAGTTCGGGGGGGAAATCTGTCAGCCGATGGGGGGAAGCAGAGTAGAGATAACCAGCTCAGGGCGGACTCACACTAGGCTGTTCCAACCAGGCTTCAGGCCACTTGAAGCCCCAAGACCAGAACCTTTTTGAGAATTATTCATCACACCCAATACCTTATATGGAAATCAACATGGAAACTATTACAAATTATCCCCAAGCGGGGGGGTATGAAACCCATCCCCATTCCCATCCCCATCCACATCTTGCTTAGACACGTGCAGCGTATATATTATCATGAGGAATCCACTACTCCCATTTACCAGATGTTCATCATAACTAGCATCTTGCAAAACAGAAAATTAACACAAGGACAAATAGTCCCAGGCAGGCTCGGTACGTGTCATGATTAATGCCATGGCTACTCCTGTCATCTTGCAAAATAGAAATCAACACAATGACTGGAAATTATCCATGCCGCGCTTGTTTGGACGCAATTTTGGTGTCGTGATTAATGCAAAGACCCAAACACCCCCAACCAGGTCTGCCTATTTTTAATCCACTGATCAAACCTGTTCATGATAACCGCCCCCCTCCTTGCCTTGCACAATAGAAATCACCAAAGACAAATGGAAATAATCCATAGTCGGAAGATAATCGGGCCTGTGTCCCAACAAATGCACCCGCTCCGCTTGCCAGTTACTCATAACAACCACCACTTTGCCCAGTCGAAATAATCCACAAAGCGAATGACTTGTTGGCCTCGTGTGAGTGCGCCGTAGCGATATCTTCAAGAGGCTTCCCGCCGGCCGCATGCTCAACTTCCCGTTCAGCAAAATCACCCATCATTTCACTCAATTGGTTTCCTTTGGTCAAACAAATCAGGGCTCCTCCCCCCGTTGACGTTTCCTATACAGTACAAAGACTTCCAATCGCATCGTGACGTCCAATCGCATGACGGACGGGGCAGGAGATGAACAACTGTCGGCGTCGTGCGCCGCCTCCGCCGATGATCTATGCACTACCCTCAGTCACCACACGATGTCACTCATGCGCACACATTAGCGAGACTGTTACCAACTGATACAAAATGTACCCGTGTTGTTTTTGTTTTCGGGGAAAAAAAAGGCCAAATGACAACTCCTGATCAAATTGTTTTTTTAAAAATGAGAAACTGCGTTTGCGAGCCTAGCCTGGTGGTTCACGTAGCAGATGGTTGTCTTAAATACAAAAATGTACTTTAGAGTGTAAATGTTGGTGCTTTTAGAGAGACAAAAATGACTATTATTGTAGAGCATAAGCATTTAAATGTCCCGTTTTCTGGCAGCGAATCTGAGTCTCTTTTTATTGGTTAGCCTATGAGTGGCGTCGAAGGGAAGATTTCTCAATCTAGCCGCGTATTCCATGCATGGCTTCGCACTGTTGGATTGTTTTCCCATTGCAGGTGGTAAAGCAGCTTTAAAAAAAACATTTAAAAAAAATTAACCACTTGTAACCGCACCTGAAATGCAAATGTATCCATTAGCAAAACATAACTTAGCATAGATGGATGTTCACTCAAACATGTACAGTTTTATGGCAGAAAGTCGATTCATCTATTTTACACTGGTCAGCCTCTGACGGGTATATTTTAAAAGTAAAACAGCTTTAATTCTTTTTTTTTTTTTAAACCACTTACGTAGCGTCTGAAGCCCTGAGTTCCACGTTAGCCATTAGCATAGCATAGCTGTATATTTTCACATCTGCAGTAAACTTTACATATTATGACAGGAACTCTATCAGTGATAGTCTGTTTCCATTGTCCAGCTTTTGAATGTACTGTACATAGACGTAGTAGAAATGTACGGATGTTGGCTTCCTTACTGTTGTGTAGATATATTTCATTTGAGGTGGTAAAGCAGCTTTAATTCTTTCGGGTTTTTTTCACCAATTTCGTAGCCTCTTAAACCCTGAAATCCAAATGCTAGCCATTAGCATCGCATCGATTAATATTTTCGCATCTGCTTTAAATCATCAGTATTTCTTACCACTCACTAAAAGTGTCTAAATGTCCCTTTTTATGACAAAGAAATCCAGTCTGTTTTCATTGTATAGCCATTGCTTGATATAAAAGTAAAGTGTGTGTGTATATATGTAAAAAAAAGAATATATATATATATAT